GTAGGACCCTAAAACGGAGGGCGTTTTGGCAGAAAGGCACAATACATCGTCGTCGTCGAAGAAGGCACAGCCGAAGAAGGCGAAGGAGAAGTCTGACCCTCCTCCTGACGACACGGATGACTCGGAGCCCGGTGACAGTGACAATGATGCGAGTCGAGGGGGAAGCTCCGATTTTAGCGAAGCGGAAAGTTTCTCAAGTGAGGATGAAGATATCGGGATGACTACGACAACGACCACAGCTGATAGAACAACGATCTGGAATTGTTGGCCCTAAATTGGCTACACTAACCTGGAGAAGTTCGATGAAAAGGCTTCCAGGGACAATTGGGTCAATTGGTGGGAATGATTCTCGGATATGACATCTCAGGGATCCTGGTCAGACACGATGAAGATTCGTCAGTTCAGGAGTCGGATGCCTACAGCAATCAAGGACTGGTTTACGCAATACCCAAATCAACACGTCACGATTGGAAACAAATGTCACGCAGATTCAGGAAGCTGTATATCGGTACCACGGGATCATATTCGGAAAGATACTTTACGATGAAGATGACCGACCACGAGACCCCATTGCAGTTCTTCTATCGTCTGAATGCAGCTGCGGTCAAGGCTGAAGTCAAGTTCAAGTCGAGCTCTAAGCTACGTGAGTCACATATTCGAACGTTCATCAAGAAACTTCGAAACGATCGGCTGAAGACAGCTCTCGAAGATCACAGGTTTCAGAGCATCACGGACTTGGAACGATCATTACGTCGCCATGAAGATGTGTGGCGTGAAAAAGGATATGTCTCTCCAGCTTCTAAGAAGCCCAGAGATTTCCGCGCCGACAACGTTCATCAAGGTCTGACTCAGAATCGTGGACCGACTAGACGTCAGGGACGTGCCTTTGGGATCCAATGTGATGCCGAACCCACGCAGGATTCAGAGTTTCAACACGAGTTCAGAATCTTGAAGCGTTTGCAGAACAAGCGGAGGCGCACTCAAAGTCGATGTCAGAGTTTCCCAACAGTGGAATCGATGGAGAAGTATTTCGAGTTGCAGAGAACCAACACTGGAAGTCGCCCAACCCGCATCCGGGTCAAGGCGTAGCACGACCAGAGAATTAGGATATCTTCTGTGAGAAATGTAAGAAGTGGGGACATCCTGAAGTCAACTATTGGACTGGAATGATATTTGAACGATGCCAAGCCAAGGGTCACCCGACCAGAGTCTGTACCAGAATCCCTTGTGCAGAATGTGGAGGGTTTCACGGTGGAATATCGTGTGAACAGTGGAAGGCTTTCCAGTCAGTAATGACACTGGCAAAGCAAGGGAATGCAAGTGATTTACCAACCCATTTTTGAAGTCTCCTTCAGACCAAGGATCACGCTTCAGGGGCGCAGCAGTTAAACCACTAAGCACGCCGGATGGGGATCCGATACGCGACGGGCCTTAGAACTCCCCTGAAATGTGTGTGTTAGTGTGCATAGGACCAGAACGAAGGACGCAACTACAAGATAACCAACAATGTATGAATTTAGTTCAAGATGAAATCATCTACTCTGAGCAATTGTACTCAGAGTACCAGTGTTCAGATGACCCGATTCCCGAGATCTCTTAGTCTGAATCTCAGGATCCCTTGGAAGTACCGTTGAAACCGGGTCAGAGGTATGGATGGTGGGATGTTCACGAACATGGAGACATGCATGGATCGGCAACGATACATGGAACTGTGAATGACTCCAGTACCAGAATTTTATTGGACACAGGTGCGCCCGTGAGTATTATGAGTCTTGACCTAGCGTGTAAACCCAAGCTCAAGCTCCGGACACACCGTCAAAGCAAACTTTCTGGTTTAGGAGGAGTGACTACTTATATTACTACTCAATGCCAAGTGAAGATAGCTCTCGGATGGAGTGCAGTGTACGTTCTGAATATCTGGGTTGGAAACATTGGAGAAGGTGTTGATGTCCTACTAGGCATGAACTTTATGCATTCGGCAGGTGGCCGACTCTGTATACGAGAAGGCTAAGTCAAGCTGCCAGACGAAGAGACTGTGGTCATGTATGATGATAATCTCAAGTCCCGTGGTATGGATCTCCCTGTGTGCCTGGAGGAAAGTATACACATGCGTCCTGGTCAGGATGCTATTGTACGAATCCGGTATGGCCAGCCCAACCCTCAACGTGAGTTGGTGTGGGCTGGGAGAGGCAAAAACAGGGTGGCTAAAGTCCTGTATTCTGCCAGATTCTGGGCGACTGCCGTTAAGGTTGTTAATGTTTCGGACCAGAATGTGTGGGTCAATACCAGAACCGCTGTTGCACGTATTGTGGAGTACGGACAGTTCCCAGGACAGCCCGGATTCGTTCGTCCTGGGAAGGCGCGGTATAAAGAGTGGCAACTATTAATCCAGGAATGTACTGTGTGACGCCAAGCAAAGATACGTGCTGAACGATTAGAGTAGATTCTCAGGGAAAGGGATCTTCCTCCGTGCACCGAGACTCAGAGATATCAGTGGCCTATTAAGCTCTTAATACGTCCACCGTCACAAGCTGCTGAGGTGAGGATGGTGAAGTTGCAAGAAAAGCCGAAACCACTGGATATGACACTCAAGATCATTGGGAATTCAGCGGTCGTCATGAACACGGTCGCGAGAGACCCCAAGGAACCTGAGATACGTCCTGAACCGGCAGAAGAGACCCATTCTGACCTGGGCCCAGAAGTTAAGATCCTGGATCCAGGGAATGTCCCTGATGCCGAGGATAATGTCCGGGCTCAAGACCCGTCACTAGATGTCCAGTCACAGACGAGCTGTCCTGCACTGATCCAAAGGCTGGAGGCGGGATATGCTCGAGTGATGCGAGTCTCTGCTGAAGAACTGAATCTGGAACCCGCTGTATATCTCAGAGAAGGTAGCAACTGGATGGCACAGCTACGAAACCAACTCATCATGCTCCCGGAAATCGAAGAACTGACCTCGGAATGTAACATCGACGAAGCTATTGTCGGGGTTCCAGGGGTCACAATTCCAGAGATGGAAGCCAAGATGAGAAGGATCCTGAAATGTCATCGCAGCATCTTCCTGGGATATGGCAACGCAGCCCCGATCCCGGCTAGGGGCGTAGTGAGCGATATCGACGTGGGTGAAGCAAAACCAGTATCTTTGCGTGCGAGACAGATTGCTGCACCTTTTTTGGTGAAGGTGTTTAAACTCTTGAAGAAGTTATTGGAGGCGGGGCTCATTGAGCATTCAGAGTCCGAGTGGTCATCACCTATTGTGATTGTGCTGAAGAAAAACGGCGTAGACATCAGGATGTGCATTGACTATCGACTTCTGAATTTGCTCATTAAGCTATCCCGCTATCCTCTACCCCTGATTGATGATCTGTTGGTAGACTTTAAATCCGCGATGTGGTTTATGAGTCTCGACATGGCGAGTGGATTCTGGGCGGTGCGGATGACTGAACGTGCGAAATTGATCTCTGCGTTTGTCTGCCCGTTCGGTCACTTTCAATGGCTCAGAATGCGTTTGGATTGAAGAATGCACCGTTCATTTAGCAGAGCATCATCAACAACTGTCAGTGGGGATTTGCCCGTCTACCTCCTGAAGAGAAAGCAATGGTTGACCCAGAAGTGCTAGCGTTCCTGAATCTCGAGCCTCAAGAAACCCTGAAACCTGAAGTGGATATGAGTGATGCAGAGATTCCATCATTGGACATGACTGTATTCCGACGCAATATCCCGGTTCCGTCACAAATGGGTCCGGTCTTGGGAAGTAGCTCGTAAATTGACGATATCGCTCATGGGGCGTCGACCTGGGACCAATTATGTGAGGACCTGGACGCGTTGTTATACAGACTACGATACTGGAATATCTCTGTAAGCTTACTGAAAAGTGAATTTGGAAAGTTGACCATTTCATTTCTCTCTCATGAAGTAAGTGCGGACGGAATCAGGGCCTTGCCAAAGATTGTCAAAGGCATAGAGGACTTACCTTTCCCGTCAACGAATAAGGGGGTACAGTCCTTCTTATGAAGTCTGAATTACTACAATAACTTTATTGAGGACTTACCAGTAGTCGCCGCTGTGCTCTACGAACTGGACGAAGAACGTGTACGTGCTGGGCGGAACCTGAAAGCAGTAAAAGAGGCCTTCGTGGTACTGAAACGTAAGATCATGTCGACCCCACTGCTGCGGCATCCAGACAGAACCAAGCCTTTCGTTATTATTCCGCATACTAACCCATGGGCGGCGTGTGCTGTTTTGGGTCAAGAGCATGAAGGACTCATACACCGAGTACGATTTACTGGCAGAGTATCGAAGGAATCAGAGCTATGTTACCATATAGCTGAGAAGGAAATGCTCGCGATCTTGCGGACTCTGGAAGTTTTCAGACCTCTGATCCATGGATCAGAATTCCCAGTTGTGGTGTATACTGACACGAAGCGATTTGGAATTTCTCGTGGAAGCAGGAATTAGGGAATGGATACAGGATTGCCAGTGTGAATGTGTGGATAGAAAAGTGACTGTGTGATGTGAGAGAAGCGATTGCCTTGGAGAAGAGCTAAGGATGGGCCTAGAGTCTGAATGCATTGTGATGCTCAGTCCGGACTCGCCCTCGTCCTGACTACGGGTACTAATGATCGTGGAAAGTGTTGGTGCAAACGTATTATACCAAGCACCCCGTATTGCCTTAGTTCAACCCCTAGAACATCATTCCCAAGCTCGAGAACATCACCACCTAGGACTATTTACGCACGAGACTCACAATCCAAGAAGAGATGGACAGCAGATGGAGTTGCGATGTGTGCTACAAGCAGCGTGGAACATTATACCCCAGAGTTCGACCAAGTATCCCAGAATCCCGTGATTAATTCCTGAATCCAGACTCGTAACCCCTGAATCTCGAAGGAAATCTCTGAGACCAGATGCAAAATGTCTGGAATCAAGGATACCTATGTTTGTATGAAGACATTACGCTACGGATTCAAAGATTCTACAATGAAACAAGACAAGATCCAGGGTTTCAAGTATATTCCGATGGATTCTATATCACGATATGCTATGGAGTCCCTTCTGGGGTCAGTGAACTGATTCGAAGTGTAACGCGATCAAGTGGGGACAAGCCAGTGCGAAGTGAAGTGATGCGACTCATATCTGATGATGTCACGTGAACATATAATGGAACCAAGTGTGTTTGAAGTTCAATCATGATGAGTGTACTTAGGTATACTGAAACCAAGACATTTACCCCGAATTCAAAACGATCAAGCGAAATATGGAACATAGGATACCAAGAGAAAGATTTAGCAGTATAAGATAAGATAATCAGAGATATTTTTATTTTGTGAAGCACAAGTGGTTCGTATGGCGCGCAGGACAGATGCCAAGGGTTCCGCGTGAAGATCTCCAGCTGTACTAAGTCCAAGTTGCGGTGGGGATCAGACACGGCGGTGTTCTGATGAGATCCACGACATTCCATATCCCGATTGGGCCTGCTGTAAGTGAACGGGAACGGTAAGGGTAGGTACCCATTTCATGTTAACGATTGCTCTCTAAGGGTTCGTAGTCCCCCTAGAGTTTGTAGTAGACTGCTGAATCAAAGTTCGCCTGGATTAAGGTTGTATTTCCCTCGTTTCTGAGGGTGGTGTGCGTGATTGAGGAAGCGACTCAGACTGACCAGTATCTGAGCCGTAGTTCCGAGTAAGACTCCCCCACACACTCAAGGGTCTATAAGAATAAGTAGTGGCTGCATATTTGTGTATTCAAAGTTCTCTGTATTGTATTTGGTTGTCTTATTAAGAGAAGTGTATTCTCGGGTTTTGGCTTCAGTCATGGTGGTGAACTCAGAGAGTGAGTCACTCGCTAAGCACACAGACTTCCTACAAACTATCTACCAACAGTCGAGACCAAGAGTTCCCGAATATTGAGTTTAACCCACAGGGATTATACACAAGGGCCACACGCCAAACTCAGAGTTCCCAAAAGGTTCTCGGAGTTCCGACCCTCTGCGCATCCGAGTCTCCTATAGTCTCGGGACCAGAGCGAGCACTGTACGCCAAGGGGTGAAAGTTTCACCGACTTCACTACAGGATATTGCCTGGATGAAGGCTTTCAAGTTAGTACTCCGATCGCTCTTGGTAGACCACCTCCAAAGTCAACTGAGAGCTCATCAGAAACGCCGCTTGCAGATGCAAGTCAAGGTCGAGGCACATTCTCGAGCAACCTTAATGGCATGGCTTACAAGTGTGCGGGAAGGACTGCTCGTGGCAACGTTGGAGAGTGGATTTAGAAAGCTGAGCATTCGGACTGACAACCGTGTGTTGCCTACACGCGACCCTGTCTCTAGCGCGACAGAGATATTGATGACATTCTTTATCAGTTAGAAGCGCGTCGATGGTGCGAAGAGGTAGGAACAGATTTTGGGCTTTAGCAGCACTTTGTGAACGCACTTCAGTTTCTTTGTTTTGTTCATGTAATTCAAATCATTGTACGAATTTTACAAACATGCGCAATATTTTCTCCCATAAGAGAGAGATGTCGGTATGCTAGCGTCGGAAACACTGTTCCCTCGTGGGATTGCGGCATACCCGAGCGCTTGCACTGTTGCTGGAGATGCCGTTTTGAATGGACACGTAAAACAAAGCGTCCGCGATCCGGTAGTAAACACTAACATATTTCGTAACAGCTTACGTTAAGCTTTCAAAAGGCGTATGTCAAACGTCTACAACTTAAATCCGGATTAAATTTTCCTGAACCCGTCCAAAATCGCGAAATGGCGGGTTCTTACAAGCATTGCGTATTAATTTCACGATCGATTATAATACTTCACGAAGTATCCGTGTGGACCAATACTGCAGTAGCATAAAATCATTTCTTAGTATTAACGTCGTTGAGGACAAACCAATACCCTTTATTCAGAGAGATATCTTACAAAATCAACTTAAACTCGATCTTGAGCAAGTTTAAACCCTTTTTGAAGAGGTTGAGCCTAAAGACTCTTACTGAAGTCGGTGCATGTGGATCCGGATCATTCACCAGCAGCTCCTGTTGAGACAGCTACAGCAAGGACAAAACGGAAGCGCGCTGCTGATGCTCTGAATGAGAAGCTCAAGAAAATTTCACGTCGACGTGTCGAAGTTTATTGACGCAACTAGGATTTCTGCAACTTCTGTTGTTGCTGAGTGTTTTTTCTCGACCGTTAAAAGCACTGTTGGATATTTGAGGAAGCGCCTGGGCCACGAAACGCTCGAGATGACCATGTACTTGAAGCTAAACTGGGACTTAGAGACTCTTGCGGACGTGCCGAATGCTATTGAGCGAGCCAAACACATTAGCGATGTACCTAGGAGATTGACAAGATTACACTCATTAATTGTTCCAGATCGAAGCAGTCAATCAATAAAAATATACCCCTGCTGATGAAGGATCCTGCTGCTGAAAACGTTAGATTGTCGTCGAAAGAGTTGTGACTGTCTGTAGAGTACTAGCACTGTATTCTATGCGCTTGGGAAAACTGGTCTCAAGTTCGCTAGTTTTAAGACACTTCAAATATAATCACGCATTTCAATGCCATTATTATTCAATTAAATGTGCTCATGGATGTCATTAACTGACATTTTTGTGGCATATCATTGCTTCGCCTTTACGGGCCCATATAACCAAAAAACATGCGTCGCATCAATTCATTGTAATATGTACTGTGTTAGGTACGTCTGCCATGCATACCAACTATCATGCTGTGGTAAAGTGCGATCAAAATCTCGCGAGAAAAGCAACCTCAGCTGCCAGATCGCGAGATAGAGACGGACCAGGCGACAGAAATCCTACTTCAGACCAAGACATCAAGGCCCTCCCCAAGATCCAACGTGTAACAACATCGGTGAGTGATGATGGCTACAGATGACCCAAGATCAACCCATGGAATGATGGATGGTGACATACCCATATCGTATCTTGAGAATGCCGGATCAAGGAAAATTTGTGGGCAGGAGTCGCTATCGACTGACGATCCAGAATTATAGCGGGCCAGCGGACAGATCGAGGGAGAATAGCTATGCTTGAGGCCATGCCAATCACCGATCAAGATACGCGAGGTGAAGGCGATCCCAGTTCAAGGCATGATGGTGATCCAGGACCCCGAGAAGGAGGCGGGACGAGATCGTCGGGAGGCGGCCGTCATGCGCCCCAGGATGAGCAGCAGCGACGAAGATCACCGCGTGAGAGCGACCAAGAGGTTACTCAAGATCACAGGCCGGAATCCCTGATCGAGATCGAGATCGCCGATCCCAAGATAAGGTATGTATCCAGATGTCAGGGGATCGTAGGAAAGCAGCTGAGGATGGGTTAGTGGACATAGGGATAAAAATAAACACACTCGAATTTGCTCTAAGCTGCACAAGTGTCCGCCTTCGCCTGGAATCGGGGATTATTTTGGCCCCTCAAGCGCGTAGACGGTAAGGACGTAGGTCTAGCGTAGCGGTTAAGTCCGGATAATATTTTGGCCAGCTGTGCCTACCTAGTGACTTGTCCTCAAGTGTTTATTGTTGATCGGAAGGCACTGATTGCTTGGCCTGAAGATTGCATCGGATCTCGACCCAACAAGTTCCCCGCCATTGGAAGCGGCAAGCATAACAAGGAGGAACAAGATCTCCCTATTTGGACCACCTAAAGACCTGGATCTACCACCAGGCAGCTCGATCGCGGCTCAAGGACTCGTCAGCGACCGAGATCGACCTACGCGAGGTAGAGCGAAGAAGTTCCGCGCTATCTCAAGCCCCTGCGTT